TTCCCGCACAACCATCTCTAGGGTTTACAGAGAATGGTCCCAAAAAGAGAAAATATCCAGTGAGCTGCAGTTGTGTGGAGGAAAATGCCTTGTTGAGGTCAGAGGTCAGAGGAGAATGGACAGACTGGTTCCAGATAATACAAAGGCAACAGTAACTCAAATATTCACTCGTTACAACCAAGGTATGCAGAATACCATCTCTGAATGCACGTGCCGTGTCTCAGTGTGGATGCGTGGTGACGTCACTGCCCCTCCCCTACGCGTCACGCCACAGGGACTCGTGGCTTCCTCTGGGGGAAGCCACGAGTCCCTGTGGCGTAACGCGTAGGGGAGGGGCAGTGACGTCACCACGCATCCACACTGAGACACGGCCAGTATTGACAGTGTGCGCAGGCACACCAACGAGGCTGACCTCACCACAGTTTTATATACATATACAAAGTGCATCTTTGTCTTTTTACATGTGAGTGCATTACCAACGCACATTAAAGTCTTACACCCCAGATAAGACACTATTATTATTATTATTATTATACAGTATTTATAAGGCGCCAATAGTTCGCTCAGCGCTGTACATTACAGAGGGGGACAGAACATGTGACAGAACAATACCAATACAATGCAAAACATGAGGGGATCGAGGGTCCTGCTCTTTCGAGCTTACAATCTAGGAGGGAGGGGATGGTGGCACAGGAGGAGATAGCTGTGGGGGATGGAGTGGTAGGAAGAGTGGAGGAGTCGGCAAGTTAGCAGGGGGTGGGGTAGGCTTCCCTGAAGAGATGGGTTTTCAGGGTGCGCCTAAAGGAGAGGAGAGTAGGTGATAATCTGATGGGTTGGGGCAGGGAGTTCCAGAGGATGGGTGACACCCTGGAGAAGTCCTGGAGGCGGGCATGGGAGGAGGAGACCAGGGAACTATGCATCTTCTCTTCTGTTACATATATTCCACTCGAGGAGGATGTGATCAAGTAGCCTGCTGAGGAAGGAAAGGATTTCCGTTTATTACACTGACCTACGGTGCAGCTTCTATTGTACACCACATCTACCATATTTTAATTACCACAAAGGAGAGTATACTGAACTCAATGGTGTATTGCATTTATTGGGAGACTGACAACATATTGCATAAAGGATTTCTCCTATAAAGTTTAAGATCACCACCGGATTATCAACTAAAGAACCTATTGTGTAACAGTGTCTAGATTTAATGCATTGTAATGATCGATATAAGGGATATACAGTCAGGTCCATAAATATTGGGACATGGACACAATTCTAACATTTTTGGCTCTATACACCACCACAATGGATTTGAAATGAAACAAACAAGATGTGCTTTAACTGCAGACTGTCAGCTTTAATTTAAGGGTATTTACACCCAAATCAGGTGAACGGTGTAGGAATTACAACAGTTTGCATATGTGCCCCCCACTTGTTAAGGGACCAAAAGTAGTGGGACAATTGGCTTCTCAGCTTTCCATGGCCAGGTGTGTGTTATTCCCTCATTATCCCAATTACATTGTGCAGATAAAAGGTCCAGAGTTCATTTCAAGTGTGCTATTTGCATTTGGAATCTGTTGCTGTCAACTCTCAAGATTAGATCCAAAGAGCTGTCACTATCAGTGAAGCCATCATTAGGCTGAAAAAACAAAACAAACCAAACCCATCAGAGAGATAGCAAAAACATTAGGCGTGGCCAAAACAACTGTTTGGAACATTCTTAAAAAGAAGGAACACACCGGAGAGCTCAGGAACACCAAAAGACCCGGAAGACCACGGAAAACAACTGTGGTGGATGAGCGAAGAATTCTTTCCCTGGTGAAGAAAACACCCTTCACAACAGTTGGCCAGATCAAGAACACCCTCCAGGAGGTAGGTGTATGTGTGTCAAAGTCACCAATCAAGAGAAGACTTCACCAGAGTGAATACAGAGGGTTCACCACAAGATGGAAACCATTGGTGAGCCTCAAAAACAGGAAGGCCAGATTAGAGTTTGCCAAACGACATGTAAAAAAGCCTTCACAGTTCTGGAACAACATCCTAGGACAGAGGAGACCGACATCAACTTGTACCAGAGTCATGGGAAGAGAAGAGTATGGAGAAGGAACTGCTCATGGTCCTCAGCATACCACCTCATCAGTGATCATGGTGGTGGTAGTGTCATGGCATGGGCATGTATGGCTGCCAATGGAACTGCTTCTCTTGTATTTATTGATGATGTGACGGCTGACAGAAGCAGCCGGATGAATTGTGAAGTGTTTCGGGAATATTATCGGCTCATATTCAGCCAAATGCTTCACAACTCATTGGACGCTTCACAGTGCAGATGGACAATGACCCAAAGCAGACTGCAAAAGACACCAAAGAAGTGGAATGTTCTGCAATGGCCAAGTCCATCACCTGACCTGAATCCGATTGAGCATTTCACTTGCTGAAGACAAAACTGAAGGGAAAATGCCCCAAGAACAAGCAGGAACTGAAGACAGTTGCAGTAAAGGCCTGGCAGAGCATCACCAGGGATGACACCCAGCGTCTGGTGATGTCTATGCGTTCCACACTTCAGGCTGTCATTGACTGCAAAGGATTTGCAACCAAGCATTAAAAAGTGAAAGTTTGATTTATGATTATTATTCTGTCCCATTACTTTTGGTCCCTTAAGAAGTGGGAGGCACATATGCAAACTGTTGTAACTCCTACACCGTTCACCTGATTTGGATGTAAATACCCTCAAATTAAAGCTGACAGTCTGCAGTTAAAGCACATCTTGTTCGTTTCATTTCAGATCCATTGTGGTGTATAGAGCCAAAAATGTTAGAATTGTGTCCATGTCCCAATATTTATGGACCTGACTGTACACACACATATATATATATATATACACACACACACACACACATATATATATATACACACACACACACATATATATACACACACACACACACACATATATACACACACACACATATATATACACACACACATATATATACACACACATGGAGCAGCACAGTGGCTAAATGGTTAGCACTTCCTCCTGGCAGTACTGGGGTCGTTGCTTCGAATCCCAGCCACGGCGCCACACGCCTGGAGTTTGCATGTTCTTCCTGTGCCTGCGTGGGTTTCCTCTAGGTACTCCGGTTTCCTTCCACACTCCAAAGACATGCTGGGAGGTGAATTGGATCCTGTCTAAATTGGCCCTAGTATGTGTATGTATGAATGTGAGTTAGGGACCTTAGACTGTACGCTCCTCGGGGGCGGGGACTGATGTGAATGTACAATATATATGTAAAGTGCTGTGTAAATTGATGGCGCTATATAAGTACCTGAAATAAATTAAATAAATAAATATGCACACCTATATATATAAATAAATATACACACCTATATATATATATATACACAATACATGTTCCCGCTGACAGTATTGCTCGAAAACAGTAAATAAAGAAATATATGTAAAAGCAGAATATATAAAAATGGATATTGAAAAAAAACAAACTATTACCCCAAACATATCCATGTGTGTCCCTCTCTACTATCTGCCACAACCTTCTCTTCTATCAATGGCTGAAGCAGCTGCAACGACCTGTATTGATGGCGGCACTCCGGCTAATCACACGTTTGTTGGAGGTTCCGGCTGACACGTAATCCAGTAATACTTCTCTACACAAAGCTGAAGGAATCGTGGAGCCGCACCTCCTCCGTGCCCCACCGCCGCCTCCGCCGCTCTGCCCGTCATTAAAGCACTTTGTATAAATATTTCCCATTTTATTTCCGTCTCGGCGCTTTTTACATTATTTCAACATTTGCGCTTCCCATGGGCTCCGCTTAATAATAAAATTCTCTCCAGGTGAAGCCGCCATCAGTACTAAGTAATTGTAGCGGCGGGCTGGAAGGTTCATTGAGGTAAACATGAAATACGGGAGAGCAAGACGACTGGAGGACGGACGCGGAATGGCGGCACGTACGGCGAGACATTAAAGGATTTGCTGCAGAGGAAGGTCCAGACAAAGAAATGGATGGAATCCAGAGATGGGGAATGATTCACCTGCCAAGTGATTTGTAATTCTGCTCAGCCGGTATTGTGATCCAGACATTCCTGCCAGACTGCACGGCTGGAGATCAAGAAAAGGGCCACCAGAAAAATGAATCTGTGAGATGGCTGGGTGCAAATGGCTGTTTAATATCATCTGAAAGCCAATGTGTTTCAAGAGTAACAGAATTCCCCTTCTTACCCCTGCTGCACATATGTGCTGCCGTGCGGGTCGCAATTTGCGCGGGCATGAGAGCCAATTCATTTGCCCCGGGAAACGCAGGGAAGAAGTCTCTGCACTACTTGGGAAATCGTAGTCCGCATGGGAACTGAAGCTCCCAGTACGGTTGCAATTTCCAGTGCTGGCGGCATGCCATTAGAATTAATCCCGCATTCCTCTGTGTGGGCAGTGAGGCTGCAGGTATTGGTGAGGGTCCCGCGTTCCTCTGTGTGGGCGGTGCGGCTGCAGGTATTGGTGAGGGTCCCGCGTTCCTCTGTGTGGGTGGTGCGGCTGCAGGTATTGGTAAGGTTCCTGCGTTCCTCCGTGTGGGTGGTGCGGCTGCAGGTATTGGTGAGGGTCCCGCGTTCCTCTGTGTGGGTGGTGCGGCTGCAGGTATTGGTGATGGTCCCGCATTCCTCTGTGTGGGTGGTGCGGCTGCAGGTATTGGTGAGGGTCCCGCGTTCCTCCGTGTGGGCGGTGCGGCTGCAGGTATTGGTGAGGGTCCCGCGTTCCTCTGTGTGGGTGGTGCGGCTGCAGGTATTGGTGAGGGTCCCGCGTTCCTCTGTGTGGGCGGTGCGGCTGCAGGTATTCGTGAGGGTCCCGCGTTCCTCTGTGTAGGCGGTGCGGCTGCAGGTATTGGTGAGGGTCCCGCGTTCCTCTGTGTGGGTGGTGCGGCTGCAGGTATTGGTGAGGGTCCCGCGTTCCTCTGTGTAGGCGGTGCGGCTGCAGGTATTGGTGAGGGTCCCGCGTTCCTCTGTGTGGGTGGTGCGGCTGCAGGTATTGGTGAGGGTCCCACGTTCCTCCTCCGTGTGGGCGGTGCGGCTGCAGGTATTGGTGAGGGTCCCGCATTCCTCTGTGTGGGTGGTGCGGCTGCAGGTATTGGTGAGGGTCCTGCGTTTCCTCCGTGTGGGTGGTGCGGCTGCAGGTATTGGTGAGGGTCCCACGTTCCTCTGTGTGGGTGGTGCGGCTGCAGATATTGGTGAGGGTCCCGCATTCCTCTGTGTGGGTGGTGCGGCTGCAGGTATTGGTGAGGGGGTCCCGCATTCCTCTGTGTGGGTGGTGCGGCTGCAGGTATTGGTGAGGGTCCTGCGTTCCTCCGTGTGGGTGGTGCGGCTGCAGGTATTGGTGAGGGTCCCGCATTCCTCTGTGTGGGTGGTGCGGCTGCAGGTATTGGTGAGGGTCCTGCGTTCCTCCGTGTGGGTGGTGCGGCTGCAGGTATTGGTGAGGGTCCCACGTTCCTCTGTGTGGGTGGTGCGGCTGCAGATATTGGTGAGGGTCCCGCGTTCCTCTGTGTAGGCGGTGCGGCTTGCAGGTATTGGTGAGGGTCCCACGTTCCTCTGTGTGGGTGGTGCGGCTGCAGGTATTTGATGATGGGGTGGGGGGGGGCTGAGATGGGGGATCTGTGAGATTTTGGGGCTCTGTGATGGGGGGCCTCTGTGGTGATGGGGAGAATTATAATTTGAAGGGGAGGCTCTGATGTCATGGGGAACTTGGGGGGGGCTGATTGGGGGGGGCTCTGTGATGGGAGACTGTGTGACTGGAGGGGGGGGCACTGTGATGGGGGACCTGTGTGATTGGAGGCTCTGATGGTTTGGGGGACACTGATGCGAGGGGGGACCTCTAACATGAGAAAGGTAAAGGCAGACGTGGACGAGGTAGAGACCATGACATCACCACCTTGCCTCTCCACCTCATCCAGTCAGAAAACCTGATATATGTTTGTGCAAATAAATGTTCTCTTCTGTTTGAAATGCGGCTTTACACATTGGCATGCCTCCCTAAACCCAGTCTGTCAGGACAGTTTGGTCACTTGCTAACTTGTTACCATCCACAGGCAGCTTAACTCTTCGATAAGACACAGAATCCAATGCAATTCTACTTTGGCCAATTGTAATAAAGAGGATGTTTTCCAGCCTATTAGTGTCTATAGTGTAAGACGACAATGACTTCCTAAGCCCTCTATCTGTGAATAACGAATGGGGGAAACATGGAAGAAGTGGGGGGAGGGGGTCTGACAACATGAAGCCTTCCAACAGTTGTGGAACCACATGTCCCATGAGGCATTTCAAGACTGACAGTTACAATCAGAGGCTGAGGCATGATGGGAATTGTAGTTTGCCAACATCTGGAGGGCCGCAGTCTATTGCAGAGTAAGAAGACAATGACTTTCCCAAGCCCTGTCACTGGGAATACCTAATGGGGGAAACATAGGGGGGGTCTGACAACCTGAAGCCCTCCGGCAGTTGTGGAACCACATGTCCCATGAGGCATTGCAAGACTGACAGTTACAAGCAGAGGCTGAGGCATGATGGGACTTGTAGTTTTGCAACAGCTGGAGGGCCGCAGTCTATTGCAGAGTAAGAAGACAATGACTTTCCCAAGCCCTGTCACTGGGAATACCTAATGGGGGAAACATGGAAACATTGGGGGGAATCTGACAACCTGAAGCCCTCCGGCAGTTGTGGAACCACATGTCCCATGAGGCATTGCAAGACTGACAGTTACAATCAGAGGCTGAGGAGTGATGGGACTTGTAGTTTCCCCACAACTGGAGGGTCGCAGTCTGTTATACGTAAGAAGACAATGACTTCCCAAGCCCTGTCACTGTGAATAACTAATGGGGGAAACATGGAAGAAGTGTGTGTGTGTGTGTGTGTGGGGGGGGGGGGGGGGTCTGACAACCTGAGGCCCTCCAGCTGCTGTGGAACCACATGTCCCATGAGGCATTGCAAGACTGATAGTTACAATCAGAGGCTGAGGAGTGATGGGACTTGTAGTTTCCCCACAACTGGAGGGCCGCAGTCTAGTGCAATGTAAGAAGACAATGACTTTCCCAAGCCCTGTCACTGTGATTAAATAACGGAAGGAAGAAATGGGGGGGGGGGGGGGGGGGTCTGACAACCTGAAGCCCTCCAGCTTCTGTGGAGCCACATGTCCCATGAGGCATTGCAAGACTGACAGCTACAATCAGAGGCTGAGGAGTGATGGGACTTGTAGTTTCCCCACAACTGGAGGGCCGCAGTCTAGTGCAATGTAAGAAGACAATGACTTTCCCAAGCCCTGTCTCTGTGAATAACCAACGGGGGAAACAAGGAAGAAATGGGGAGGGTCTGACAACCTGAGGCCCTCCAGCTGCTATGGAACCACATGTCCCATGAAGCATTGCAAGACTGACAGTTACAATCAGAGGCTGAGGAGTGATGGGACTTGGAGGGTCGCAGGTTACCCACCCCCCATTCTAGTTAGGAGAAAACGAACTAGCACTAAACAGGGAGGGAAGGGAGGACAGAGGAAGATACCAAAACCACATTTGTAAACAGGCTGTCGTGGCCCAAAACCACCACTAGATGTCACTCTACTACAGAAAAATTATAACCTCATGCAGTTCAATACAAAGCATTTAAAAAAGATCCATGAAAGCGGGGCAGAGCTGTTCCCTCCACAATGCCGACTCCGAAGATTTACCATAAATATGAAGATAGAAAAAGAAATGTTAAAGTAAAAGAACATAAAAGAAATAAACAGGTGTAAAAAAAAAAAAAAAAACCATACATAAAAAATTGTATTTTTTGAGTGATCCCAGCTCCCAGTTAATGACGCCGTTTTGTGTTGCGAGTCGTTGTGAAAAATAATTGCTTTACGTTTCGCCATAATGGCGGCGCGGAATAAGAGCTCGCGTCTGCGGCGCTCTCCGTCCCTCCAACACGGGCGCTGAACGAAATCAATTTCAATTGCGCGGCACTTCATGGGATTGATTTTGAAGAGATCTGCTCGGCTTGGAGTAATATTTGTGATGAAACCTTTTATTTGAAGAAAAATAAATATATAAAGTTGTAATTCTCTGAGTGCAAATACAGCAAGGAATGGGATTAGATGGGGCCCCAAAAAGGAGCATCGGAGAGACGGCCCGCCATGACGTCATGAAGCAGGTAATAATGACTTAGAGGGCTCAAAGGGGAAGGAGAGTCTGTCCCACATGGAAGAAAAATATATTTTAAAAATATTCTTCCCAAATATATTGACATTGATTTGAAATGCTACAATATTGGCCGTATTCAATATATTTAAAAAAAAAAATAAAAATAAAAAAATTTAAATTATACATTTATTTTATTTATTATTTATTTATTTCAGGTATTTATATATCGCCGTCAATTTATATATATATATATATATATATTGTACATTCACATCAGTCCCCGCCCCCGAGGAGCGTACAATCTAAGATATATATATACACACACACTGTATGTTGAATATATATAAATATGAAATATATATAAAAAGAACGCATTTCAACATGCAGTATATATATATTAACTGTATGTCTTTAAAAATCTGAAGAATATATTTCAAAAAATATTTTTCATATTTTTTATCATATATATTTTTCATATGGCGACAGCTCACCTGCATCATGGCGTGGCATGACTCCAATCCAGAGCAGGCAGCTTGTAGGGTCACCCTCAGCATTCGAGGTGGGTTTCAGGGTCGCCAGCCAATGACGCTCTAGGACCAGGATGCAAGGTGCCATTTGTGGATCCAGTGATGGCGGCAGCTCACACATATCATGGCGTGGCATGACTCCAATCCAGAGCAGGCAGCTTGTTGGGCTGCCCTCAGCATTCGGGGGGTGGCTTTCAGGGTCGCCAGCACCATACCAATCAATGACGCTCTAGGACCAGGATAAAAGGTGTCACTTGTGGATCCAGTGATGGTGGCAGTTAACCTGCATCATGGCATTGCATGACTCCAACCCAGAGCAGGCAGCTTGTAGGGTCACCCTCAGCATTCGGGGTGGCTTTCAGGGTCGCCAGCACCATACCAATCAATGACGCTCTAGGACCACGATAAAAGGTGTCACTTGTGGATCCAGTGATGGTGGAAGCTCACACACGTCATGGCGTTGCATGACTCCGATCCAGAGCAGGCAGCTTGTAGGGTCACCCTCAGCATTCGGGGTGGCTTTCAGGGTCGCCAGCACCACACCAATCAATGACGCTCTAGGACCAGGATAAAAGGTGTCACTTGTTGATCCAATGATGGCGGCAGTTAACCTGCATCATGGCGTGGCATGACTCCAATCCAGAGTAGGCAGCTTGTAGGGTCACCCTCAGCATTCGGGGTGGCTTTCAGGGCCTCTAGCACCAAAACAGCCAATGACGCTCTAGGACCAGGATGCAAGGTGCCATTTGTAGATCCAGTGATGGTGGAAGCTCACACACATCATGGCGTTGCATGACTCCAATCTGGAACAGCCAGCTTGTAGGGTCACCCTCAGCATTCGGGGTGGCTTTCAGGGCCTCCAGCACCATAACCGTGAAGGTGAGTATCTTTCTTTCTCTCTGTCGTGAGGGGGGGGGTGTTAGTGGAAGGCTCTCTCGGGTGGGGGGTGGGGCAGGGGTGTTGTTGTTCACTGTCATTCTCTCTCCATGGGGGGGGGTCTGGTGTTGGTTGGTGTCAGGCTCTCTCTGCCGGGGGGAGGAGGGGCATCCAATTTTTGTGTTGCCTAGGGCAGGACAACACCTAAATACACCACTGGTTGCATGACTCCAATCCAAGCTTGTAGGGTTGCCCTCAGCATTCGGCGGGGGGGGGGCTTTTTTTTATGGGCAGCACCATAGCAGCCAATGACGCTCTAGGACCACGATAAAAGGTGTCATTTGTGGATCCAGTGATGGCAGCAGCTCACACACATCATGGCGTGGCATGACTCCAATCCAGAGTAGGCAGCTTGTAGGGTCACCCTCAGCATTCGGAATGGCTTTCAGGGTCTCCAGCCAATGACACTCTAGGACCAGGATGCAAGGTGTAACTTGTTGGTATACTGATGGCGGCAGCTCCTCTGCACCATAGATTCGCATGACTCTGATACAGGGCAGGTAGCATGCAGGGCCACTCCGGCATCCAGGAGAAAATGGAAGTCCTCCTCTCCCAGAACTCCACCATCTCCTGCCCTCTGCTGAACTTCTGGAGTCAAAAGGTGGGGCTCTGGTATGAAGAGGGGACTGGGGCTCTGTGTGTGAAGAGGGAACTGGGGCTCTGTGTGTGAAGAGGGGACTGGGGCTCTGGTGTGAATAGGGGACCGGGGCTCTGGTGTGAATAGGGGACCGGGGCTCTGGTGTGAAGAGGGGACTGGGGCTCTGTGTGTGAAGAGGGGACTGGGGATCTGGTGTGAAGAGGGGACCGGGGCTCTGGTGTGAAGAGGGGACCGGGGCTCTGGTTTGAAGAGGGGACTGGGGCTCTGTGTGTGAAGAGGGGGCTGGGGCTCTGGTGTGAAGAGG